TGATGAACTCATTCTTCTTTCCCCCAGTACATATCAGATTTTGTCTATACTCTTCATTTGGAGGAAGACAAGTAGGAATCATTAATAAGTGAGTGCATTATAGAAGACTCAGATTCATAGAAATGAACTGGATTGGAGAGGTGTTATCCAAATCATATGCATTATAAGTTTGTAGAAGTTATATATTAACAATACCCTTAAATAAAATTTTCAAAAACTGCTTCAGTGAACCTGAACAAGCACATTAAAAATCCATTAATTTTCAACTATTATTAGTTTTTTTTATTTTTATTTTTTTTTATTAAAGAGTGCTTTAAAAATTAGTTAAATCTTTGTAGACTAGAAATATATGTAGGCTACTGTATATCATTTATTTAAAAAATGTGGGCAATTACAGATTAGTTTTATTTAAAAATATTTTATTAATCTTATTTTTTAAATCAACTATAGGGATGCGGCCAGGTAAGGGGCCTACAGGACATTGTGCCCAGGGGCCTCTGAATTCTTAATCCGGGCCTGCCTTTCATAGACTTTCATTGGGATTCTCAGTCTACATGAAAATCAAAGGCCATAATTTATTAAAATGTAATATGATTATTATCTTGATGGATAAAGCAAAAACAATAAGTGAGACGCATTTTAAAATGCACTAGGTTTATAAATAAATGTAAAAACAAATCTGTAATCTTCTGTAATGGAAGGTATCAAATGATGTTATTAAAAAATTATCAATTTGAGTTAATAGATGCACATTTCAGAGGGGCTGCGTTTTATGGCAAGACTAACAGCTTTTAATGTACAGGTGTCAGTGCGTAGTGAGTTTTGAAAATAGACTAAATTAAAGTTTAACTAATGTAATGATGGTCTTATTTTGAATAACATACCTCCTGATAGTTTTTTTTTTTTTTTGTATGAAGCAGAAAGGGAGTTTAGACTTAACAAACCTAATTCTTGGCCATAAGTAGGCCCACACAGAATCTGCACATGCAGAATTCCACAGATTTTTAGTCCAATATTGATTGCGTTTATTTACTTGTGTAAATGTGTGTATATTTACATTTATTCCATTTTTTTATTAGATTCAGTAATATTATTGACTAATAAAATATTCATATGGTTTATTTAAAATAGTTTGTACAGTAATATTTTTCTGTCTTTTAGTAAAGATATTATATGAGAGACTTGCTTTGTTTTCAAATAATGTTGATCTAATTGGATTTGCATTGTAAACATTAAATAAATATATTTTATTATTTTAAATAATATTTTTTATTTCATTTATTAAGGTTTTAGTTATGATACTACCAAATAATTCCACATAAATCCGCAGATTTTTAACACAATTCTGCGCAGAAATAGCAAAAAAATGTCCGCAGATTCCGTCTGGCCCTAGTCATAAGTCAGATCTAAGACAACACACAACAGATAATTCTTATTTTTCTGTTTTTATACAATCTGTAGAATTTCATTCTAATGAAATTAATATTCATTCATTCATTTTCCTTCAGCTTAGTCTCTATTTCTGAGGTCACTACAGCGGAATGAACAGCCAACTGTTACAGCGTATGTTTCACGCAGTGGATTCCCTTCCAGCCGCAACCCAGTACTGGGAAACTCACATACACACTCATTCACACAAACACACTGATGCACTACAACCAATTTAGTTAATCAATTCCCCATAGCACATGTGTCACTCTAACTAGTGACCTTCATGCTGTGAGGCGACAGTGCTAACCACTGAGCCACCATGCTGTCCTGAAATTAATATGTTTATGCAAAAGATTTTTAAAATGATCTTAGATTATCACTTCAGTTGTATCTTTACATTGTTTTCCAGTTACATTTAGAATTGGATTTTTCCATTTATTTATTTATTTATTTATTTATTTATTTATTTATTTATTTATTTATTTATAATAGGATAATTGTATAATAGTAATAATACTCTAATTTGTAATAAATATTTTAAAAATATCTATTAAAATAACATATTTATCATTTTATATATTTATAAAAACACAGGGCGTGGTTTTGTTAATGGGGCCTGGCTTGTTGATATGGGCATGGCGTAAATTCTCACTCCAAGATAAAGCCAAAAGTTGGCAGCCCTGAAAGCTGTCATGCATATTACTGAAGATGCACCGCATACACAACAGAGTGCACTGATTGGTTTGAACCAAGTCTTACTCATAAATGAATGCAGCATACTCAGAGATGTAATAAGGTACTCCCAGGTAGAGACGCCCAAATTTGTTTCAAACCGGAAGTACGAATTTGCTCGAAATAACGCAAAAACAACCAGTTTTCACTTTGAGTGAAATAAATGTGTCCTTATAGGGTTTTTAGCATCATATATGGGACACATATACGACTGGCAACAGCTCAAAAAATGTGTTTTGGTGTTTCGTGACCCTTTATTAATAGTATTTTAAAAAAGCGTTTGCTATAAAACCAACATTTACCTGTTGCTCATATGTCCCCTCATATTGGTTTAATGGCTAAAATATGATTTTTTTTTTTTAAAGTTTTAAGTTTATATGTGATTCAAGGTAAAATTATACAATTTATGCATGCTGTGGTATCTTTTTTTTTTTTTTTTTTTAAGTTTTAAATTTAGATATCTTACCCAAACCATATATTTACAATGTTAGGCCTTAACATGGTGGATGGTACTATGCAATGTTTTTTTTTCTATATTTATTGTTTTCATTATTTTATTTTCCAAAAAATATTAATTTCACAGGGTTGAGAATCCAGTGACGGGCTTGAAGACCGTAACAGGGTTGAGGGGACACTTTAATTGCAATTTTAATTTGTTTTAATTAATTTGAATTACAAATAAGACTTAATCAAAACACTTGTTTATTTGAGTAAAACATTTAGCAAAGGCAATAATCAAACTGAAATGAAATTAAACGTCATTAAACCAAACTACAGTCAAAATTCTAAAAAGTAAACTGCTGCAGTTAACTGGACCATTAGTAACCTTTAAAAATGCTGATAAAGGCCTATGTTACCAAATATATTGCTGAACAGAGCCTACAGTAAACAGGAGCAACAGGTAAATCATGTCTAAAAGATTATTTTCTGGAACTTAAAAAAAACTGCAGCAGAAAAAATCTTCTTAATAATTGTTATTTAAAATTCTTAAAAATACTAATAAAAATAAAATACAGTTCTATAGCCAGATGGGATTATCTGTGGTCTGAGTATTTCAGAGACTGCTGATCTACTGGGATTTTCATACACAACAATCTCTAGGGGAGAAAAATATGCAGTGAGCGGCAGTTCTGTGGGTGCAAATGCCTTGTTGATGCCAGAGGTCAGAGGAGATTGGCCAGACTAGTTTCAGTTGATAGAAAGGCAACAGTAACTCAAATAAGCACTCGTTACAAACAGGGTCTGCTGAAGAGCATCTCTGAACACAAAACACGTCCAACCTTGGAGCGGATGGGCTACAGCAGCAGAAGACCACCAGCGGATTCAATCAGGGACTCCTAAACCTTTTGATAGCTTAACCCTCTTTATCCATAACATATGAATTATGCCCTCATTGACTCCCTCTATAAAGTTGTGTAATTTTTTCACTTTACGTGTTCTGATTTTATCAGCTTTTCATTTACTCATGATGAAACTGGTGGCACATTCAATATAAAATCTGCTGCTGATACGGGTGCCATGTATGTCTGACATAAAATTGCGTTAAAGTTTAAGTAAAAACACTGCTTCAAGTATTTTATCATTGAAAAAAAAAAAAGTTTTAGTAAGTATACTGAAATGTTTTTTTAATTAAAATTCTTGATAAATTGGGTGAATATCTCAACCCTGTTACAGGTTTACAACCCCAGAACAATTCAATAATGTCATGTGTAACGAGGTTGAGTGTAATGGGGTTGAGTTTTTAAAACAAAATGACCCCCTGTTCCTCATGTGGTTTAAACGAGAAGGCCGACATGGCAGCAATTAAACAAGATTATGTTAGGCTATATTGTTTAAAAAAAAAAACATTTATATTCCATAAATTTACGTTATGGGGTTGAATTGTTAAGCTTTCCAAACTATAATAAACATAAAAAAATGTAATAAATGAGAGAGTAAATCACTGTCTTAAACCATGTTTGTGAAAATAAGCTTGTCTGTTGCACAGTAGCAGGGTACTGCTGACGTCACAGGTGAGCCCCGAAGGCACTGTAGCTTTTTAATTTTGCGTTTGCATTTAAGATCCAAAAGTGCTCAAAGTTGTATTTTAATGTGAGGATATCACACATATATATATATATATATATATATATATATATATATATATATATATATATATATATATATATATATACATATATATGAACAGTGTTTAAACTCAGAGCATATTTTATGCTATTTTTGAAAAGCCTATAGGAAATATACGGATTTAATCGAGGGGAACAGTTTTATACAATGTGACGTCATAGTTCCTCCACTCTTGCTGGTGTGACGGGGTTGAGTTTATATTGAGGGACATAATTTGTAGCCTGTTTTATATATATATATATATATATATATATATATATATATATATATATATATATATATATATATATATATATATATATATATATATAATATCTTATTTTTATTTTATTTGTATTTATCACCAGAAAAGAACACAACAAATAGTTGTAGTACTGAAAAGAAAAATAGACACTGTGTGCATTTTATTATTTTTTTTCTACATGCAATTTCAAGGAAGTGCCTCAGGAACAGGAAAAATATAGCTTGTTTTGTGACAAATATTATTTTTATGGTAAAAATGCTTTAAATGTAATTTTTTCATTCATTATATAATAAAAATGCTTTTAAAATTTAATTTTATGTCAACAACCACTTTACAAAATATGGGGGGACTGAAATATTATCTAATGCCAGAAATGACCCGTAAACATTCCGTGTATCATGTCAATCTCCAAACCAACAGTGGGCGCTGTAAGCATCATCCCATTCCGCTCCCCTCTTTTCAGTCCGAGGAGGAATAAAATCCCTGCTTGAGTGACGCAGGAGAGCAGAGGATGATTGGAGCTGAACCGATGTGCAACAACTAAACAAGAGTCAGTACTCCCTGGCTTTCCAACAGAAAAAGCCACCATCTGCAAACAGATGAGCGTCTGAAATGCTCATGTTTGCACTGATGCCTTCGGCTTCCACTACCGTAACTTTACTGTGTTCTCCGCGCATAATCGAGATCATCTGTCCGGAGTCGATATTACTGCTCCAGTAACGGATTGACTCAAGCTTATCATTCACATTTTACGGCATGACATGTAGATAATCATCCGATACTTTGATGGGGCTTCTGAGGATCATGATGCCACCCAAGTTCCAGCTGCTGGCTGTTATGGCGTTTGGAGTGGCGATGCTGTTTATTGAAAACCAGATTCAGAAGCTGGATGAGTCTCGGGCAAAGCTGGGTAAGACTGCGATTCTGTCTTAATTTTAAACTGAATTAAGTGAGGTGCCTACTTAGACAGCAGTTGTGGACGTCATGTATGCAGGCTGTTCTTGTGCAAAATGATGCTGTTTAGGTGGGTTTGAAACAGACTGTTTTGCTGTTTGTCTCGTTTAAACATCATTCCTGCAAGACATTGCTGGAGGATTGCTGAAGACATCCAGATTTGCATTGCGCAATCACGATGAAGTAGTTCACCCACATCTTTCTGTTCTATACTCCCCCTCACGTCAATGCTTATTGTTTTTTAATAGCTTTTTCATTCTGTACATGTTGTAGACTTAAGTAGTGAGCCAATAAATAAATATTTTGTCATCATTTACTCCCTCTTCCCTTGTTCAAAACCTGTTTAAGTTTAATTCTTCTGGCTAAACACAATATGGATATAATGTATACATTTAAAAAAAGCTATAAAGCTGTAACCACTGACGTCCATAGCAGGAAAAACATATATCCTGCGGAAGTCAATGGTTTTTCAGCTTCCTTCAAAATGTCTTATTTTTTTGTTTAACAGAAGAAATCAACTCATAATGAATAATTCAATCATAAACAATCATAAATAATGAGTCATAAATTCAATCGTGAATTCTACTTGATGGAAAGTAAACAATGTGTAACTTTTTACTTTTTTGAATGAATCATCTTTTTTAAGAGGTCAAACCTAAAGGGTGGATAACATATGGTGAATGTTGTTATCTATTATAATTTTCAAAACTACAGTAGCTGCTCACTTTTCAATGTCATTATATCTCATTGCTTACAGATATTTTTTTGGAAAATAAATCTATCATAATGGTGTTTTTTTCCGTGCTAAACCATCAACCAATGCAACTAGCCATAAGAAAAATAGTTTCTTTTCAATCATAAAACATAAATTTACCGGATTAATCAATGGAAGTTGAGACAGAGTTGATGTAATTATGATGACTGTGTATGCTCAGAATTTAGAGAGAGACTATTAGACTTGAGTACACTCTTCTCAGTGCTTCATGAGAAAGTTTAAGCTATTGTTGATTTCAGAATCAAATTCATCTGAACCATAAAGATGGATCCATGTTGATGTTTTTAAACTTCCATTATATTTAGAAGACAACTAGATTATAACTAAACCAATAACTAAATCAAAATAAATAACTAGAAAATAACTAGATTTTAAGTGAATAACAATTTTATTTTTCACCTTTTATAATACTACTATTTATATTATGCGCTATGTTGTATTTAAGGAAATTTATTTATTTTTATCATTTGGATGACAGCACTCTTGTATGACACCACAGTGATGCAAGCAGAAATGTGAATAACAGTATAGGGAGAACATTAAAAGCTTGCAAGATGTTGGCACTGTACTTTCATTTTATCTAGCAAAAATTTTGGACATGAAGCAGTAATAATTTTTTTTTTTTTTTTTTTAGTTTTGTATTTCATTGTTTACAAGTCAGAATTATTAGCCCCCCTGTTTCCCCCCCCCCAATTTCTGTTTAATAGAGAAAATATTTTTTTTCAACACATTTCTTATCATAATAGTTTTAATAACTCATTTCTAATAACTGATTTATTTTTACTTTGCCATGATGACAGTAAATAGTAGTTCACAAGATATTTTTCTAGACACTTCTATACAGCTTAAAGGGACATTTAAATGCTTAACTAGGTTATTTAGGTTAACTGGGCAGGTTAGGGTAATTAGGCAGGTTATTGTATAATGACAGTTTGTTCTGTAGACTATCAAAAAAAAAATAGCTAAAGGGGCTAATAGTGTTGACCTAAAATAGTTTAAAAGAAATTAAAAACTGCTTTTATTCTAGCCGAAATAAAACAAATAAGACTTTCTCCAGAAGAAAAAAATATTATCACACATACTGTGAAAATGTCCTTGCTCTGTTAAACATTATTTGGGAAATATTTAATAATTCTCACTTCAACTATATTTTATATTTCTACATTCCTAATTAAATACTTGATCAAGAGTTCTGAAAAAGTGAGAAAAATGATCACATAAATGTGATTTTAAGGCACATACTTAAAATGTAGTTATTAATATATTAATAACTTCATTTTTGAGTATATACCTTAAACTGTATATAAAAGTGAGATGTATAAATGGTCCGTTCCTTGTGGTCATTATACAATCTATTGGTTAAATTTACAGAAAATGTGCTATATTGAGATATATATCGGTATGTGAGATTACTTATATCACGATGTGATATTTTCATCATATTGCCTAGCTGCTCTTTTTTTTTCTTTAACTTTAAACATCATTTTTTGAACATTTTGAATTTATTCGCTTCGTTTGTGTGTCAAATTTGATTCATTTGCACGTGAAATTCACTTACATTAGATTTGGATTCATGCCATGTGCAGGGTTTCTTTCTGCCCGGTGACTCTAGCTTTGTTGCTAAATGGCTAACAAGGAGTCCACTAGATACATTCAGAGGTGCAGCCAGCTCTGTTTGTTCATCAACTCCTCCAGAAACTATATCTGGATCATAGAGGCCTTCAACTGTGCTTCTGAATGAGATGAACCCAGTTTGAGGAGCTGTTGTCTGGTGTTGGTATAATGATATCCCCTCGGGAGACCAACTACAGGCACTTTAACCGTGTCCCAAATCGCATACTTATGCACTGTTCTATGCCATTTTGTAGTATAAATTGTGGAAGTAGTGCGTTCACACTGAAAACTCTAAAATTAATAAGTGCACTTTAAATACCCAGATGATGCACTCATTCAGCCTGTAAAATGAAGTGTGTAATGATGGACACTTCACACATACATTGACAACAGCTTTGCTCACATACAGTAGCTGAAGGGGCGGAGTTATCGGGCGCCAGGGCTGGACTGGGGCAAAAAATCGGCCCTGGCATTTTGGGCCAGAGCGGCCCACTACATTCAATCAAAATGCTATCTATGCACGTCCAGTATTTTAATCAACTCATATTTTATAAAACACAAAAGCCATATATATGAAATAAATAAATACAAACTTTAATCTCAATTTAATTTCTGTATACTGTCCATAAAGATATTTGTTGAGTTCTAAAAAATACACTATTCATTTATTTATTTTTCTTCGCATTAGTCCCTTATTTATCAGGGGTAGCCGCAGTGGAATGAACTGCACACTATTCCAGCATGTTTTATGCAGCAGATGCCTTTCCAGCCCCAACCCAATATTGGAAATCACCCATACACACTCATTCACACACACTCGTACACTACAGCCAATTTAGCTCATTCAACACACTATTCACTCAGCCTATATTCAGTAATAAACATAACAAAAACTGCCTGGTGATGCATGGGTAAATCTTCAAAGGGAACAGTGTACTTTATAACCTCTTTCACCTCATCCTGCTTGCTGTTTCACTATCTAAACAATGAAAACATAATATAAGTCAAATTTGTTTCATTTTGATATTATGATTAACAGACACCAAACAGCCTCGTGTAGCTGCATATTTATATGAGCATCATCTTCACTCTGCATATTTATAACAAAACAGGGCTTAAATATAACTCCCTCCTTTAATTTTCTTTGAAAAGAACAAACTTTACCCTGTCTCTTTTGCAGAATATCAGTTTTAATAATCAATAATGGCCATTATAACAGTATAACGTACAATAAATTTATATGATAAATGTAAGCAATCAGTCAATATGCAGAATCAGTGTACGTGGTTACATAAATTAATATATTAGCTTATCTTTGCACTCAGCCAAAACAACAAGATGAATTCAATATCACGTTTAACAACTATAGTGAGATGAGATCATCCAGCAGATGAACTGTCTGACATGCACTATACTCTCACCTGGGGTTTATGCTCACCTGCTGAATTACTGGCTGCAACTCTAGGCAGAGAGTGTGTGTGTGGTCACGTGATTTGCGTTTTTAGCCGTGACTAGAATGAACGGAGAACTTTTCAGAACCGCAAAATGAAACGCGGTGTATTTCCCGTGATTTCTCTGCGCCTCCCTTGCATTTCTTCTCTCTGACTCTCGACTATTTTGACAAATAAACACAGACGACGCACGCTCATACAGAGCCCAAAATAGGAGTTTGTGATTGGGCCAGCCCAATGTCAATACAGAAAAGAGCCAATGGGCTGCAGAGTGTCACATGGGCCGGCCCGGTCTGTCAGTCTGGGGAAAAAAAGCATCTTACTTTCAGAGAGTCACAGATCACAGCAGCGTCAATTAATAAGGCAGAAAAAAATGATAGGCTGCTAAGCCTTTTATGGGCCGATCAGATCATAAGACGATGATCAGCCCGGCCCAAAAAGTACGTTGGCCCACCGGGAAAGTGCCCGGTCTGCCAGATGGCCAGTCCGCCCCTGTCGGGCGCCTGTGTTGGATAACTTTATTTATTTTGGATAGTGAAAGCAAAATTTTTCTACAAGAGTGATTATAGTGCCTCCCGATGGTTAATGCGGTTATACTCATGGCAGGTATTATTTGATAGTTTAGTCATTTATTTCACTGATTTGGCAACTGTCAAACATAATCAGGGAAATGGTTTAAATTTCCACTTAGTAAAAAACAGTGCTCCATTTGGGACGACACTACATTAATGTACTATGCTGTTGAGTGTTGTAAGTGCATAAGTACAAAGTGCATGAGTGCGTAGTGTATGTGACATTTGAGACGCAGCTTCATAATAACGCCCCCTACAAGTGAAAGCCCCTGACTGGTTAACACTGAGTGAATGTTCTCCAAAGTTCAGATTTTCCAAAATGCTCAACTTACGCCACCTTATTCGTACGAATAACACCACAGGATGTCTATTCGCAACTTTGCATTGACTTAACATGCAAGTCACTAGTGCTTGATGCTTTATCCGTGTCTGGTGTGAACACAGTATTAGGCTTAAAAACAATTGTTATTTTGCTTCTCTGTATGTATCTTTATTTTTTTGTTTTTGACATTTGTTTATAGAAAAAAAGGCAAATGGAACAACA